AGATCACGGTTTAAAGACATGAAACATAGTAGGTAATTAAATAGAAAATTTTTGAAAATTTTATTTTCGAAGTTAATTTCATTAACTCAAAAGTGGTTACAATACTTGACTTTTTAGGTCATTACAAAGAGTTGAAATATCGGGTTGTCACACCCATAATCAAGTTCATCTTCCCATACTCCACATTTAGACCTTGCAAATCAGAACAAATGTGAAAACCACATCCTGTATCCAGGACCCAAGAATTAGCATGTGATGAGTTATTAGACAAAATATTGTAAATACCTACAAAGGTGGGCTTGATCTTCCCATCCTTTATATCCTGCAAGTTTTTAGGGCAGCTTCGCTTCCAATGCCCCTTTTCATGATAGTGGAAGCACTCTGCTTCCTTTGGATTGGAGGAGGATGTGGCAGAACCAACTTTGGTGCCACTTGAAGAGGCCCCAGCATGGGATTTTCCTTTTTGACTCTTGGAAAGAGTCATCCTCTTCTTTCCCTTTCCATGTCCAATTGCCAAGACAGGGGCAATTGTTGTAGGAGTATATGCAACATATTTTACTTTCAAACTACTTTCAGCAGTTCTCAAGAGACCCTGAAGCTTGCTTAGAGTGACCTCCTCCTAGTTTATATGATAAGTCATACGAAACTGATCATAACAAGAAGGTAAAGAGTGTGAAATAATATCTATAGCCAACTCTTCATCGAAGTTGACATTCAACTTCAGCAAGGGGTCCACAAACCTCTGCATCTTTTGCAAGTGGGCCGTGATGGACTCTTCATCCTTCATTTTGGTTGTGATAATGGAGGCAATGATCTCATACCTTTCCTTCCGAGCACTTTGATGGTATCTATCCATCAAATCTTGATACATTTCATAAGGAAAGTAGTCCTCATAGGACTTCTGTAGCTCAACAATCATGGTAGCAACCATTAGACACGACACCTTTGTCGTATCCTTTTCATGAGCAGCATGTTCAACGATCTATTCAAGAGTGCAGTGTTGACATAAACCTCTTTAATCTCTTTATCAAGGACATATTCTTTATCCTTATAGCGAATAGCCATTCTGATGTTCCGAATCCAATCATTGAAATTCAAACCATCAAAAGATGACCCTCCCACATAGGTTCATGAGGGAGAAAGAGCCTGAAGGGATTGGGTTTGAAGTATTATTTGAAGTAGACATCTGAAAAGAAAGACAAATTTAGATTAGATAAAGATCCTTAATATAGCACCCAAAATGAAATATTAAGCCTAGGACCCAACACAACATATTACAATTCGGCGAGATATGTCATAATCCTATTGTAAAATATTTGAAGGTAGGTAAATGATGATTTACCAATTTCCACCATGAAAAACGAAATAGTTTATCAAGTTTTAATTGGTTTGAAATTCCTAGATCTTTGAGATTCATTGAACTTTTCAATGGCATGTTTAAATCTCGATTGTGCCCTTCAAGTTTGTGACTGGGATGCCGAGGATCACAAACAAGGTGTGATGCAAATTAGCTTGGTACACTTAATATTACAAATCATCCAATCAGTGTGCCGGTTAACCACACACACTCCATTGGTCCATGATTAACACCGAGCTACCCTTTGCAACACATTTTTAGTCCCATATTGGTGTGCCGGTGAAGCACACATGCTCCACTGACAACTTAACAAGGTGCAAAGTGCAATTTCATGGAATAGCGCCATTTTCACATTTTTCCTAAAGTAACTAAGATTGGGAATTATAAAAGTTTAGTTACTTTAATAATTTTCATTATACATATTAATAAGAATTAATGTCCTATCCTACCCATTCGGCTAACGACCCTCCACCAGTCAAGGAAGCGGTGGGTGAGAGTGGACACCCATTAAACCACCATTTTATAGGTAGTAACCTTATACCCCCTTATAGACCGGCTTCGTGAATGAGACCTACTAACGGTAAGACTGACTTGTCTTATACATACATATATATATATATATATATATACATATATATATACATATATATATATATACACACACACACACACATATATATATATATATATATATATATATATATATATTAGTATTAAACTTTAATATTATAATAGTATAAGGGTTGAATTTTAAACTTTCAAATTTCTAGGGTTTAGAATTAAAATATCATTAATGTAACTTTTCAAGTTCCAAAACTTGAGGGCAAGTTTTGTAACTTGTCAATACTTTTCAAATTTATAACTTAGGGATTTTAAAGTTGCATAAATGAGACCTTTCCAATTCCATAACTTGAGGACAAGTTATGAACTTTACATGACCTTTGGTATTTCATAACTTAAGAAATTTAATGATCCATGAATGGTGTGACTTTTTACATTCCATAACTTGAGGAAAACTTATGGAACTATTCAAGAAACAATTATGGATCAAATTAACTAATCCAATTATGATAGGATGATCATTTACCAATTTGACCTAATTTAATTCATATTTCATGATAACTTTAAATTATACAAATAACTAGTATTACACAAAACAAGTAGTTATCTTAGAATTTGACAAATATCATGTTATTAAATGGGGCCTAACATTACCATATCATTAAAAACAATTTTTATTAACCAAAACAGTTTGTGGTAATGTTCCTAATCCAAAACAGGCCAAAAATTCGAAGATTCTACCATCAGACCATCCAGCTCGTCGAGTCCCTTTATGGACTCATCGAGTTCATGACAAAATGCATCCAACTCGTCGAGTTTAATCATGGACTCGGCAAGTTGGTCCTGGAAGAATCCCGAAATGCAGTTTTTCAGCTTTTGAAAATCACACAATTGCATCAATATAATAGAAAACACCCATGGCTCTGATACCACTGTTGGGTTTAATATACTTTAACTTACTTATGGTGCACATACGAACCTAATGCTTTGGATCTAAGTTCTCTTTAATTATACATGCAACATGATTCCAAAGCATGAAGCCTAAACTAGCATACAAAACTTTTTACATATGAATCATAAACAAGTTAGAAACTAACCTCTTGTTGTTGTTGATATTGCTAGAAATATTTTGGCCTTGTGAGAACATAGCACCAATAGTGTGAATGCCTCAAATGGAATCACAAAGCACTAAGAACAACTTAGGATGATAATAGAGAGAATATGGAGACACCAATTTCGGTTCTAACTCTTAAAATATAAGTGCCCACGAATTTTGGACATATAGATACACACACACACACACACATATATATATATATATGTGTGTGTGTGTGTGTGTGTGTAGAATATCAAGGGTCATGTATAACCCTAATCCATACATTAACCCATGACCCATCCATTTGATTTGGATAAATGCTCCATGGATTAACCCATAAGCCCATCACAAACCAAACCATGGATTATTAGCCCAACTCATATGTATGTATTTTAATTAGTATCTTTTGATCACTAAATTAATTCTTAAATTAATCTTGATCAATACTAATTAAATAATAAGATTCCTCAATTAATATATTATACTTATAATATATTAATAAATCATAATTAACCTCTCATTCAAATATCCTTCCTAACATATTACTTTGATGAATGCAACCCAAATGGACCATGCTACTATCAGGTCAAGTACATACTAATTATAGTTATGGACTTAGACACTTTTTCCAACAAATTCTTTTGTGGTATAATGGTAAGCTGGCCGTCCAAGAAATAGAATTGCATTACACTTTCTACAGCGAAAGCAAAATACATTGCTGCTGCAAGTTGCACTTTTCAAGTTGTATAGATGAAGTCCCAATTGTTAGATTATGGTTTTCGGTTTAAGAAAACTCCCATCTATTGTGACTCTACAAGTGCATTCGCCATCTCTCGCAATCCGATTTTTGCACTTTATGACAAAGCACATAGAAATGTGATAGCATTTCATGAAAGACCATATTCTGAACGGAAACATATAACTCATTTTTGTTCCATCTGATCATAAAATTGCAGATATCTTTACTAAGAAATTAGACTAAACCAAGTTCAATGATCTCTTGAACAAAATGGGAATGATACATCTATATCCCTAATTCTTCTAAGAAGTTTACACTCACTCATGTTCTCATCCGATAGTCAAATTACTCAGTGTTCAGAAAATTTCTCACTATAGAAATATTCCACCTTAGAAAAACAAGGATCATTTTCATGTCCTTTTAGTCTAACTTTCGATTTCATTTGAAGAATCTTTTAGAAAGTCCAAAATCAAGTCTATCTCTTCTCGAGAAAATGCATCCGATGAAATCAAGAACATAGATCAACCGAGAAAAATTGACAGATCCAAAATCTTATTTTCCAAAAAAAAAAATATCATAATCAATCTCATAATTTTAAACCGAAATATTAATGTTATCTTGATTCTTTATATCTTTGGAAGTTTGTTTAATCAAATCTAGGATGTCCTCATGTCTCTCTGTTTTTCAAAAATTTCGACCTATAAGATCTTCTTACTTCATTTTTCCTTTGATAACCAGTTAAGAAATTTTATTGTTTCTCAGATCAATATCATGTATCTAAGGTTTTTTTTTGTTTCTCTAAAGTATCATATTCCATGGTTGTAATCTATTTCAGAAATCTTGAAGTCGAAGTTGTTCTCTTTAAACTAAAAGTTTTTTAGATTTTATTTTCATTTAATCCCCAATTAGGACAGTTTCGTTTTATTTACTTTCTTTACATGTGGCAAATTTTAAGTCTGTGATTGATTCAAATTCAAATTTCATGCCAAGTTATAAAAAGGGGGTTTAGATGTTTCCCTTTGATCTTTTCTGATCTTCTACATTCTAGCAAGAACCTTAAACCTACTTTTCTCGATACTCTGTACGATTTTCATCTCGATTATCATGTCAACTGCTCAACCTTCTTTCGAACACTTCAACACTACCGATGAGGAAGTTTATGTTCCTCATATAAAGATTCAATAAAATAGTTTTTTGTTTAATCCTAACTTGGTGGCGTGTCCTGTTCAACTGAAGATGCTTGTTCAATGTATGAACAATTTAGTTTTGCTCGTGCTTTGACATCTTCTTCTGCTATTCCAATGTTGTGGTTGTCACTTGCATCTTCAACAAAAGTATTCAACAAAGATATAAAAGTTTTTACATTCGAAATGGAATCAAAAGGAACCAAAAGATTATGGAAGAAGCAATTTGCTCAGATTCTTCAATTACCACCTGAGGGTCCATTTGAAGTTTTTTCCTTGGATCAGATGCTTCAAATGTTTAATGAAGGGGATATAATCCTCCACTTTTGGTTATTAGCAGTTTTAATAAGTTCGGTCTTCCTATTAAGTGAAATTTCTTCTTTAGGGTCACTATTCGATGTTTGACGGGAAGGAATTGTGGTTCAGACAAAGGCAAATGTCAATTTTATTCTGTGATGGTTGGTTTGTAATATGGTCTTAAAGGGGAATACGCTTATCTATTATGGGATGAACTCCCCACTCATGTGAAGCACTCGAAGAAGTCAACTGTGATTGCTAGTGCTCGATTCTGGAGTTTAATTTTCCGTGAAGCCTACAATCAATATAGCATTATGACTCTTGAAGGAGTTGAAATTGCTCATTTTTTTCACATCAACAGATTCCTAAGGTTACAGTAGATAATTCTATTGCCTTTAATTCTGTTGGATGTGTACAAGACGCAATGCTTCGACTAGTCGAATCAATTGCTAATTCAATACAAAGTTGCTTTGCATCTTGCTCCTTCTGCTTCTATTCCTAAGAAGGTGACATTTTGAGCTAAAGAGGGCTCAACTCAAGATACACTTGTTGTTTCTTTGAAGAATAAAGCATCATCTAATCCCATGTCAGTGGTTGTTAAAGATGTTTATGAGTAACCCTAACTCTAAAGGTGTTGTCATCAAGGAGATTACTGATGAAGAAGAACAGCGAAAGCAAAAGCGAAAAGCTCTGGGTTTAATGAAAAGGTTTTAGAAGAACATAATTCAAATAAATAGAGACCAACCTATCACAACGATGCCTCAGAAGAAGAGAGTTTATGATGATATGATTCAAGTATAGACAGATAATGTGTTCACTGATATTGAAATCAAATACATAATGTTTCACCACAAGAGGATGCCTCTGTTGAATAGAATATCAAGAAGACAAGAAACTTGGATGTCACTGTACACACATCTAATGTGGATACAAAAATCATCAATAGTGACACTACTTCGACTTCGATTCCTGAGTCGGCATCTATTTTTCCACCTGAAGTCCCTTTTTCCAAGTCCAATATAGAGGAGGATTGGTCTTGAAGTATCCTTGAGAACATATCTAATAAGAACTCAAATGTTAACATGAGTGTGAATCCTTCAACTTCTGCTCCAGATTTTTCAAGTGTCTTACCACCACCTTCATCACCACAACCAACTTTGATCATTCAGCCTACATCGGTTCCTTTTCATTCATTTACTTTTGATGGAATCTTGACTCAACTGTGACATTCCCATTTTCACAGCCAGAAAATACTGATTTGTTTATGCTTTATTTTGAAAATCGGAGTAACCTTTTAAAGAAAAGTGTTGCGGAATTTGTTCCTAGAAAAACATGATAAATACGATATCAAAGCATTTCCGAAGAAATATATTTTATTCATTTTAAAACATTGGGATGTCATCGTCAATACAGAAACATAAGCATAAGCATAAACAAAACTTACATTCATTATAACTAGTGATTTATATCTCCTTAATCTCTCAGTGTAATGTAACATCATATCAACACCTGTGATACAAATGAACTTGAGTAGGTCAGGTTGGGAAACCTGGTGAGTATATAGGATTTTCAACCCACAATAATATAATTATCATGTTTTAAAATCAAACAATCAACCCAATTACCCATCCCCTTTATCTCCTTTACTCTTAAGGATCTACCCTAAGAATCAACCATTCTTCATTCATTCATTCCTAAGGAATAGGCACGAAGTCCATTATCGCTTGGTTTTATTCAACAGACACTAAGTCCATAGTCACCAAGATTTATACAACATGCGCTAAGTCCATAGTCGCTAGGGTTTATACAATAGGCACTAAGTCCATAATTGCCAGGGTTTATACAATAGACACTAAGTCCATAGTCGTCAGGGTTTATACAATAGGCACTAAGTCCATAGTCGCCAGGATTTATATAATTGGCACTAAGTCCATAGTCGCGAATGTTTACTTATAACCTCTTTCATCCCTCCTCATTCATCTACCCATGTTTTAAATCATTTAAAACATGTAGAAAACCATTCATCCAACATAGAGAGCATGTATTCAAATAATATGCACGCATAGAATGTAATTTATATAAAATACTTCATATCCATGTGTAAGATGAAAGTATCTATGCACTCCCCTGTTTTAAAGTGGTGATTCTGAACTCAGACAGCTCTTCGCTTCTTAAAAATAATTTCATTTGAAAAAACCTAGTATAATTACCACTAGATATTAGTTTAATGTACATCGTAACTAATTAATAGTCTTAGTATTATTATTATATAAGCGTTAAACAATACTTCTAAACTATTATGTATAGACAGGGGCAGACATGAAACACCTGAGGGCAGGACCATTTTGGCATTAAAGCACTTCTGATATCCAACAACCCAGGCGGCTTTTCAAACCAGATTCGCCGTACCGCGAGTAGTTAAAAAGGCATTATAACGACACTTAGAGAAGTCATAATAATAGCCCAAATATTTATTATAAGTTCATAATAACAATACTAATATTAATTATAAGCTATACTTAAAGTAGGGTAAACATAACTTATTTACAAGGGTTTTTAGCTAGGAGTCGGACTCTACAAGGGATGAACTTCGTCACTGAATCTTTCTAAGAAAGGTTCTTGCAGCGCTTCAGCGATCACCTTACTACACTAAAACTACAGAAAGAGAAGTCGAATCACGAGGGACTGAAATTCTCGGGGGATAAGCAGAGAAAGACTCTTGAATTAAGAGAATGGTGCAAGAAATATGAGAGCCTAAGGCTCTTATTTATTGTAATTGAATTTTCAAAAACTACCCTCATAGTTACTTAATGACCTTATAGTTATATAAACAACTAAACACCCCTTTATAATACTATTTTAAATAGATTTAATGATATTTGTACTAAACTAATGTCGAAAGTACTCAACACTAGTCTTATAACGACCGCATCATCGATACCTTTCTAATGATATATACATATGTATATATATGTATACATATATATGACTTATACTTTATTTTAATATGTAAATATGCTATTAAAAATTATAAATCGTTCATACGAACTCTATTTTTGACGTTCTTGTTGGATTAATGTCTAAGTCCATAACTATAATTGGTAAGACTTGACCCGACCCAGCATGGTCCATTTGGGTTTCATACCATCATGCACTTGGATAGACTAAATGAGAGAAATAAGACACTTATGGTTATTAATATATTATAAGTTCTAGTATATTAATAATAAGAACAATGAGATTGTTTAATTAGTATTGATCAAGAATTAATCTAGGATTAATTGAGTGATCAAAAGAAGACTAATTAAATATATATGGGTTGATTGTGTAAATCATCCATACTTGTATAGTGGGCTAATGCTCCATGGATTATCTAGTTGGGCCAAAACCCATATGATGCTCCATGGATGCTCCATGGTGTATTTGAACCCATGGATCCAAGGAAATGGAAAGTCATGACAATTAGGGTTTACCCTAATTGTATAACTATATAAGCATCTTATTATTGAGGAAAATCGGCCACTAGAGAGACTAGTATTATTCTTGAAGAGGGCTAGCCGATTTCATGAAGTGTAGAATTCTCTCTAAGTTATTCTAAGTGTTTTGATGATTGTGAACCATTTGAGGTGTCACACTTGGGGCACTAGGCACTCAAGCTTCATGAAGACAAGAACCATCAAAGAGGTATGTATTCTATCTTCTTATATTGATAGTTTTGTATGCTAGTTTAGGATAATACCTTGGATATTCATATTTGCATGTATAATAGAGAAAACATAGATCCAAGGTATTTAGGGTTGCATGAAATTACACTTAGGAGTGTTAGAATGCTCATAACCCAACAGTGGTATCAGAGCCTAGGCTTGTTTTCTTGTTATACTTGCAATAGAAGCTGAAAAATTGAAATTGGTGCTGTCAGCCCAGCAGACTCGCCGAGTCCATGAAGGGACTCGACGAGTCCAAGGCAAAATGCATCCAACTCGTCGAGTTATGTTCATGCACTCGACGAGTTGGACCGCATACAGCATATTTTCGAGGTTTTTGGCTAGAAATGGACTAGGAACATTACCCTAAGTTGTTTTTGAACTTATAAACTTGTTTTTTTTTAATGTGGTAATGTTCATGCTAATCCATTTTCAAAGATAATTGTCAATAGATTCGTGTTTTGTATTAGTTTAAAGGTTAGACTAATTACATGAAAAAGTTTGATTTGAATTATCTTGTTCTTATGAGTTGCTTAGATTAATAGAAAAGTTAATTGAAATAGTTGTTTTCAATCCATTTTAATCTAAGAGTTGAGTATAAAATGTGTTTGTGTAACTTGTCCTCAAGTTACATGAAGAGTCACATTAAAGATTCATAAAACTCATAAAATTGGCAAAGGTTACAAAAATGAAGAGTCTAGTTCTAATTAATTGGAGTTATGACTCCATAATTTGTCCTCAAGTTATGGAGGACCAAGAGTCTCTTCATTAAATAAAAAAAAAAAATAATGTAACCTTAATTAATTCCATAAGTTATAAAAATAAAGAAAAGTTAATTCTTTTATTAGTTTAAAGTCTTCCATATTTTGTCCACAAGTTATGGAACTTGAAGAGTTTTTGGATTAAAACTACTTTAAATACATAAGTTATGGAATTAATTAGTTTTGAATAGTTTCAAAACTTGCCCTCAAGTTTTGGAATTTGTAAAGTTTTCTCTTATGAATACTTTAATTCCAAGTTAGCCCTTAGAATTTTAAAAGTTAAAATTCAACCCTTATACTTTATAATATTATAAGTTAATATATATATATATATATATATATATATATATATATATATATATATGTATAAGAGCAAAGTCAGTCTTACCGCTAGTACGCCTCATTCACGAAGCCGGTCTATAAGGTGGGTATAAGGTTGTTGCCTATAAAATGTCAACTTAATGGGTGTCCACTCTCACCCACCGCTTGCTTGACTGGTGGAGGGTCGTTAGCCGAACGGGTTTGACAGGACTATAATTCTCCCTTCATTAAAAGTATTAATGATAAATACTAAGTAACTAAACTCTTAATAATTCCCAATCTTAGTTACTTAGGAAAATGTGAATAAGGTGCTAATCCATGA